CTCAGCTCAACGAAACCGCTACGGAGCCTGTTTCGTGCGGGGATTGGGGGAGAGGGATGCTAAGTGGATGGCGAAGATCACTCCTTGGCCCAGATCTGGGGTTCTCCAAAAAGAGTGTTCCTCTGCCTGTTTCATACTTCTTCCTTCCTAATATATAACCTCCTTTTGGAGGACACACCAAACTCCCATCAACCAGCCGATCATCCTTTTTGGGTGTCTTCCATTCTGTCCAAAGAATTTGCCGTGCACCTGTTTCGTGGACCCAATCGGATGCGGCTGAACAGCACCCCCGCCGGATCAAAAACTCCCCACACCCGCCTCTGGTTCCCTGGCCCAAAGCTGGACCAGTATCCTCAGCGAGCGGTGGTTGTGATTGCTTTGGCGGGTACTCCTTTTTTGGTGGGATTGAAGGGATTCCAACACGGGTTTTTGGTAGGGCCCCCTAAAAAAAGGAGACACCCAACTAAGTCGACTGGGGTGGTCAGGTTCCTTGAAGCCAAATGTAGTCATCATTGCAGGAGGGGTCGCCTCGGCTACCAGAGGAAATGGGAAGTAGAACCTATCCTAGCAAAACAACAAAAAATGTCACCCGCAAAAGTGTTCCGGATTCCCACTAGGGGGCACTGCCCTACTGAACAGGGGTTTACGCATCTGGTGTTCACTTTCTCCATGGCCGGATATAATGATTTCTCTCAGAAAATATAATAGACGTCAAGGTTGCAGACCGGTGAGGGACTTATGGCTTTCGACTTTTGGCTGAACACCGCCCCTCGCTCTCGCCGCATCTTACAAGCTGCAACATTCATGTGCTAGACAACCCGCAAATGAACATGCAGCTGTCAGCTAGTTGTAAGATGTTGGTGTCGTCGTGTGTTCCCTTCTTTGGGGTCATCCGCATGTCTTTCCAGTGACTTAGTCTCGGAGCCTTACCCACTGCCCATGTGGGATGCCTCCAAGTCGTGAGGCCAAGCTACTAAAGTTGGTCCCAACACCATGTGGTTGAGGCCTCAAAACAGAAGGGCTTCCAAGCCATTTCCCTTTTTTGAACCTTCAAAAGTGGCGATCGTTTCAAACACAATCCACCAGCAAATTGATCAACCTTTGATTTGGGGAAGTCCGAACGTGACCCCTGTTAAAACTACGGGTTGCCCTTGTTGGCGCGCACCGATAGAAAACAAAACCAACCCCAAAACGGGTCTCCTCAAAAATCATTCAAACCTTACAGGCAAGTCATTAAACGTGGCAAACGATTTGAGGGAAGGAACGCTGGAAATCAAGCAGAAACCGGACAAAACAAAACCGACACGGGCGCCAAGTGTCTCTCAAAATGAGTTGGACCTCAAAATGGCAGCCTTTGTCCTTTGGGCTAAGGACCCCCACTACCAGGACCCAAATCTACCCAAAGGACCCATCAATAAAAGGTTAACCTTTGGGGACCCCTACTAAAACTAGACCAAACGGGGAAAATCAAAAGGTCAAAAGGTCGGCTTTGAACTGAGCTACACAAACAAGCTGAACCCCGAAGTCCCAAACCCCCGAATCAAGGGGTGGGCGGTTCGGCGGCTCAGGGCCACCCTCGCCACACCTATTCAATCTACGAAGGGCGAGCAAGGGAAGGCTCGATATGGCTATAAATCTTCATAGGGAAGCCCTGAAAAACTGGTTGGGGGACACAAATCCCCACCTAAATCTCGGCCATTTCGGGGTCAACAAGTGGGTTTGGGTCAAAAACCACCAGAGGACCGCAGGGTTTAGTCCATGTTTCCATTTACCAGGGTTCCATTTCGGGTACCTATTTTTGACCCACTGCCAAGTATTTGCTACACAAATGGATTCAAAACGCGGCTGATTCGGTCTCGAACTAGGCTCCGCACCCTTTGCTGGCCAGGTGGTTTGCCATGGCGGTGCCAAAGGCGCCGCCACCCAGCACCGCCACCTCCGGGATGGGAACCCAAGCTTGGTCGGCGGCGAGGGCGCCAGCTCGAACAGAGAGCTAAACAAATTGGTCCATGCAACATGCACTCCGAAAAGGGAGGAGAACCAGCGCGAAACGCTGCGCAAGTGCCTGATGATCTGATACTGAGATACTCCCCTACAAGCCGAATGCATGCATAGTCACCGTAACAAGAAAAGAAAAGCACCACACACGCACAACATCAGCAAAAACCGACTTCGGTGCGGCAAAGGGCAAAACCACCCTGCAAGGCACGGCATGCTCAAAGACAAAACGCAAGGCGGTACGGCGCAGGGCAATAAGCCCAAAAAAGAAGGCGCACCCGCGTCCTTTTCAGTGGCAGATCTGCGTCATGGTCATCACGCCTTCTTTGAAAAGGTAGTGCTTCTGCAGCCGATAGCAAATAACTTGCCAAAAGCACCGGACTGTTAAAATCAAAAAGGCAACCCGTATAGGGTATCATATAGGCTTCTGAAAATGTGTCAGAGCACTCTGCAAAAGAAGCTTTCGTACCAAGGATGGCAAGGGCGGTTCTTGCCTTTAACCCTTAGACCAGCGCTAGTGCCTTCAAATGCCACCTGGCTGAAACTTAGCTCAGAAGGCCCATGCAACAAGCGTGAGGGGGAAAAAAGGGCACTCGTTTGTTCGGTACCTTAAAAAAATGAACGGGTGTCTACAAGGGCCTCCATTCAGTGTTAGGACGTCGCCAACAACACTTCTCCTTGCTTTCAGCTGCTGTGCAACATGATTTTTGCGGGCTGCCCTGTCAATTCTAAATCCAAACTGACAGGTGGGTTTCCTCTTGGTTTCCCTTGAAAACCAACCAACAGCGGGTACCCTCCAAAAAAAAACGATCCATTTCAGCTGGATTCTCCGTATTCCCCCCACCCTAGCCCGCCACTCGCCTTCCGCAGCACCGGCGTCGGCGCGGAAGAAGGCGAACGCGACATGGGCGAGCGCATTGGAGAAGCCAAAAACGTCACCGATGCGAACCGATGTGGCTCCAGCGGCGGGTTCTTGTGCTCAAGTTTTGGAGCTTTGTTAAAAGAGGTGTCTTTGTGCGTGGGGTGTCTTTGTGTGTGTTTGTGTCTTTGTGTGTAATCTTGCAACTGTCTCGACTTTTGGTGCGCCGAAAGCTGCCACTCTTCGTCTCTTGCAACTGGCTCGTAATCGTTCCGCTCACAAAGTGGCGGCTTTCGGCGGCCGCAACTTCCGAAGCCGCCGCGGCGAAGCGGCCGACGTGAATGGCTTATGAAGCCCCAAGCCTTTAGGGCTGAGAGAAGAGAAGCGATCCACACCTCCTTTTCCCCTTGAGCGCTCAACACATGTGGGAAATGGGGTGGCTTCTTGTGAAGAGAATGGGGAAATCAACCCTGAGGACCAAAAACACAAGAGTCCTCCAAAAGTGAAGCCTTGGGAGGACGATATAAGAAAGGAAGTAGGAATCCACACATCGACCTCCGAAAAATGAGGAGCTCTTCTCACTTCTCGCGCCCGGATTGGCTGAAACGGCCCAAACCCAAGTGACGAACCCCGAGGAACAAAAACGCGCGTGGCATTCACCCGCGGCTCCCTTTCGAACGACCCAACACAAACGGTAGCCCTCAAAAGAAGACTCACCCAAGAGACTGTTTTCTGGACGCGCTTCTCAGTTATAATCAAAACCCGGTATTAAAATGGTCGAGAACCATGTTTCAAGAATTTAGGAGGCGGATTCCCGCAGCTATTTATGGCTGGGTACTAATCTTGATCTACCCGGCTCAGTTCAGAGCGCCCAAGTTGACCCAACAAGTCTGTGCTACCTGTGGGTCTTGGTCCTGTGCTTGCTGAATAACCCTCAAATCCGGTGGCCATGGGAGAAAGGGCCACTCTGTTGTTTGGGTAGTTGGCTTTTACAGGGGGAACCCCCGTCAAAAAACAGTTGACCTCAGGATTTGTACCCACAAACCCTACTGTGGATGGACGAAATCCTGCACCACCCAAAGAAACCTAAAAATGATTTACCAACAAACAATGGTTGGTCATGGTTTCCGAGGTGCTGCGATTTCTGAATTTGTCCATCCACAGTATGGCTGCTAATAAAAACAAATCCCATTCCCATCCCAAATAAGGACCGTGGCAAACGCGGAGAGAGCCATGGGCATTCTGCAGACCGAGGGCTGTGAAGCGCAAGAACTGAGGACTGACTACCACAAGCTGCGAGAGATGCAGGGAATGAAAAATGGAATGAACCGGTGTTGGGGATTCCCGAAGAAAGGACACCACCAGTTGGATGGTTTATAGGAGTCATTCCATTCACTGAGCACCAGCAAGCTGTTCATGTCCCTGAAGGGATCAAAGTGACGCCATGCTTGACTACTTCTGCTTACTGGATTGGCACACTGATCCAGCGACTCGATCGGTCGACTTGGGAATACCCAGTGGACTCAAGTCCAAAAAGCTCAGGATTTCCGAAGAAGGTGATGGTTTCTAATACGCTTGATGTTCCCAGACCTCAAAGAGGCCATGGGACGAAACGGACCAACCGTTTTTGTTCGGCACTTGATTGTTTAAGGTGCACCCCTTCCAACAAAACATACAACAAAGAATCACTTGGTTTTGGGCTTTTGCTTGAAGACACTTTGTTTGCCCAGAAGTCAAAGTTCGAACCAAGGGTCAACCAAAAAATAGCATCCAGCCGCGTGGCGGTTGACACGTGCGATTTCACTGCTGCGTGATTGAACATAACTTAACAGCCAAAAGACCAACAGAGGTTTTCTGGTGAGCTCTAGCCAGGTTGTCACCGTAAAAAAAAGCAAACAACAAATCAAATTAGCCAAACAGGCGCATGGCTGAAGGTTTACAGGTGAATTTGTTTATTTGTGCACTCCCTGCGGAAAGTGGTAACTGTTCGGGTAAATCACGTGGCTGAATGACTTTCCATTGGGAAGCCTTGGTTTAAGGGTGACAGGTTTCCAGGTCACATGCTGCACAAGAAAGCTTTGAGGTACGACAAGCCACGAGTGTCACAGAGCCCGGATTCCGCGCGATTCCACGTATTCCCATCCTCCGGAAAAGGTAGCTCACAGTGAGCCTCCCCCGTCTCCTCACCGAATTCTGTCTCTCCATCTCTTGCTTCTCTCAGGGCAAGATGTTTTTTGGAACCTGGGGACCCCAAAGGAAACCACATGGTGCAGTTCGGGATCATTTCCCTCCGACCGAGCCAGCAAGCTTTCGGGGGTCCAAAGTTGCAAAGCTTGAGAAATACGAGACTTGGATGCCCAGGACAATGACCTCCATGTGCTTTCACTTACTCAAGAATCACCACTCAGAAACTTGCTGGAGCTCCGTAGGGAATGACCTTCCGGGTGTTGGGAATGAACCGGAAGGGCATTCCCTTAAAGAAAGCCATAGGGGATGGGTTTGTTCCTCATTCCCTGCCTATCGAACCAGCAAGGAAAGTAAGCTGCTCATGAAAACAGATTCGAGGGTTCACCGCGCAGGTCCAACAGCTCCCTCCCGAAAAGCCGAACAAGCAGTTTGGCCATGAATTTGAATGTTGAGTCGGAACCCATCCAAAAGTGGTTGGGAAACCTGCATCCCCGAAGTACGACCGAAGGGTCCAACCACCTGAAATTCATGGGCAAATGGGGGGGGATGATTTTCCAGACCTCACAGTTCACCCAAAGCGGGGCTCTAGGAAAAAACCAACCCAAAAGGATGTCCCAAAACGTTCTCATCCTTTAGTTCCGCGAGGGTCGGGCAACAAAAAACGGGCGGGTTTCTGATATTTCAGCACCATTGGAACTTACCCCTTAAAACTCCAAGGATTGGGGAAGTTAACCTTTTGCAGACATAATATAGCCCATGTTACCCAAAAAGTTGAGACAAGTTGTGTCTTTAAGAGGTAAGGGAAGGAACCCAACTCTTCCCACCCAGAGCTCTTAGCCTTCGGTTCTTAGCTGGGTTCGGAAGACCAAAAAGAAGGTGGAGAAGTTCAGCGGGTCTCGAACGCTGCAACGAACAACCCTGGGGCCATATTAGGCATGGGACATGCGTGGGTTGTCGATGTTCCAATTTGTTCGGGAAAGAGATTCCGGAACACCAGGTTCTTTCCACATGTTGTCTGCGTGTCATGTCAGGCTGCGAAAACTGCGCGTAATCGAAACTGTGCTGTGTTGAAAGAAACACTTCATGATTAGAGTTAGGCCTACTTATAGAATGCATATTTTATTGCGTGCTTCACTTGGAGTCACTGGTAAAATGAAAAATGTATCCTAAGTCTACTCCAGACTTCACCTTTGTTCAAGCTGAACCCTTTGGCGCAACGCTCCTAGATTTGTCAAGTAGATACTGTAAGGTGGTTTAGGAACGATTTGGTTATTTCTTTGTGTCCATTGTAGAACCCATGTGGGGTAGAACCCAAAAGCAGAAACAATTTCGGTGGGTCAGTGAGCCCCCCAAATGAAGCTGTTTGATTGATCTATGGTTTCGACTGAACTCACTTTTGGGACAATGAATGCGTCCCCGCTGCTCACATCTCTGCAGTTTCTGGTCTTGAGTCACCGTTGGCTTTGGCTTCCAATTTGAGTTGCGAAGAGTGCAGACAGTTGGCCAATCCACCCATGTAAGTGACCGCTTCCCCCGCAGTCCAGGGTGAGCAAACACCAGGTCGATGAGAATTTGGGGTCCGTGTTGGCATGCCCTCTCTGAATATCCGGGACCCAAAGGACCCCAAGAGAGGCCAATAAATGGGTAGGGGGTGGGGTCTTTGGGGGGCTGATTTGCAGGTTGCAACATCGGTGGCCATCCGACAAAAGGATCTTCAACCTCCCGTGGCGATCTAACCCAAGATGGGTGGCTCGTCTTTCTGAAGGTCGGATCCCTCAAATTGTGGGTTTCCCTTTTGGCTTCCCTTTTAAACTCAACTCCAAAGGGGCACCCCCAAAACAAGACACACCCATTTTACGTGCCTGTTTTTGGATCTACTAACCATTTTGGAGGGTGTTCCCCGTAAAAATCACCAGCTCAGTGCACCCAAGACCCCAAGGTCCCTTTTCCTTTCGGAGTACTCCAACTTTGGTCGGAATCGGAAGGTTTTCACCTGCATCAGGTGCTTCGAGTGGCCGAGCGCCAGCTTTTCTGTTTTCGCGCAAGCCTCGTTGTAGTAGTAGGGCCCGTCTTCATCCACCAAGCGAACCTGATCTCGGCCCAAAACCTTCTGATTTAAGCTTGTATGGCAAGTTTGTTTAATAGTACTGTGGATGGACGAAATCCACTCAGGCACCACCTGAAGAAACCTAAAATGAATCTTCTCCTGTAAATACCAACAAGCAATTGGTGTGTCATGGCTTCTGAGGTGGTGCAGGATTTTGTCCGTATGGCAAGTTCTCTTAAATCTGGGTGAATTAAAATATGTTCACCCGCCTGAAACACCGGTGGGTGGAGGGATATTCCCCACATAAACCACCATTTGGGGTGAGGTCGTGTGATTTCGTTTAATTCACCAAGTTTAATGGTATGTGTGCATTGGTTGCAATGAATCCAAAACCCAAGTAAAGGACCTGCATCATATACTACCAAAACGCAAACTAAAATGGCCCTTTCGGGATTTGTGCTTTGCGCTCACATGCAACCCAAGGTCAGGTTGCGTTGAAATCACCCAAAAATGCTGCAGACCCCACCACCAATAGACCCCCGGAACCGCACCCTTCCGGAACCCCGGCAACTTGGGCCTGTCAACTGCAATGCAGTCAATGGCAAAACCTAAGCGCCTACATCTGGGCCTCATTTTTGGAGGGAATCCCCGGTTGGAGTGTTTTTTTTAGGAACTCCCTTCTGGAGTGGATTGGTCAGGAAAAGTCCAAACTGTTTGTTCTCCACTACGATGGTCCAAACCCAAAAAGACTAAAGTGCAGGAACTCAGGGAGTGAGGAACCAAAAGGAATGCCATTCTCTCGGTTGAGTTCTGCTCCCCTGCTAACAGTTTAACTGTTAGTGGTTTCATGTAAAACCCATTAGTTGGCAAAAAGTTAGTCCTTCCAAGCAAAATGCACCAAACTTGTGGTATGCCCAACACCCGCGATTCTGCGGGCCCCGCCCATGGGTATGGCAAGCCATCGTCGTCCTGTGAGGCCGAGAGGGCCGCTGCGTTGGGTGAATTCAGCGGCAAGTCTGGCATAGGAAAACGCCTTCCAGGAACATCAGGAACCCCAAACGGTGGGCTCAAAAAACGGGGGTATGAGCCTTACATCCAAAAAATGGGGGAGTCTATACAGAATCAAGGGGTCTTGGATGTGGCTTTTACATGGGGCATTTTGTGGGGAGTCTATACGTTCTTGGATATGGTTTGAATATGGAACCCTTTGTTGGCCATCCTTTTGGTGGGGATTCATGTCCACCACTTTTGAGTTGCCCGTGCCACTACGATTTACCCCATGAAGCAGCCACAGAATGGGGAAGTTCGATGGGGGAGGAGGAGGGAATTGGTCCCCCAATTCCATGTTTTGGTCCCCAAAGCAGGACAAATCGAACCAGAACTCTACTTGTAGGGGCCACCCCTCCCCAATTCCACTTTTAAGGGCGTGGGGATGAGGCCCGGTCAAAATGACCGCCTGTATGCCGGAGTCCGGGCATACCGTGGCAATAGTTCTCCCAGCTCCCATTGCCGGGCTACCCCAAAGGCCCGCAATAAGGAAATTGTGGGGAACCAAGTTGGGAACACGGTTCAAAGAGCTCTGATGGCTCACTGGAAATTACTTGGCTTCTCCGTCCGCCGATCCCAAAATCACCATGTCTGAAAGAACTCCCATGAATTCTGAATTCTTGAGCTTTTGTACTCCTAACTGCCTTCCAAAACCCCTGGCATTTGCTTGCAAACTAGGGTTAAATGGCGCCAGCGTACTAAATATTGGAAGTAAACCAACCATACTCAACCACAACACCATGGTAAATCACGGGTTAATTCGAGCTTCGGTGTCCTTGTTCCCTTTTTGGGAATCCACGGCCCGGAGTTCCCCGAAATTCCCGCCCATCCTCATCGGCGTCAAGCTCGGGCTGGTCCCCCGTGGAGTTGGCGTCGAGCTCGTCAAGCTCGCCCTCCGCGTCCTGAACGGTGTCTATCATATCTATGGTAATCCCAGGTAGGCTACGTACGTACATGGTAAGCCCGAGTAGGTTATATCATACGGTGAACCCAGGTAGGCCATATTAAATTTGGGTATGTGTTGTTTTGACCTGCCCGTGCCGGGAAGTTGGCGTGAGGGGTGTGGACCGTGCGGTTCGGGGGGTATGGTTCGGGGTATGGCTCGCGCGCCTCTGAACTGTTGCTTTGTGGCTTTGGACACTGGAATAGCTGTGAGTAGTTGGACCGCGATTGCGCCAAGCCAGCCTGGGGTGCTTTGTGCCAAGCCAGCCTTGCTTGTGAGTGGCCTGAACTCAGCTACCACTCTGCGCGTGACGAGGAGCTGCTACAATAGCCGCAGCCTGCAATCGTCATTGCCTCCTTGGAGTTCAACAGCCCTGTCCAGGGACCCAAACCAGCGCCCAAGAACAAGCGCCCAGTCAGGCCCGCCCGCACTCACGAACCAGCGCAAGGCCCACAGGGCCGCTCACAGGTAGAGTGGTACACCTACGTTGCCACGAACGGGAACCCGGATGCCGGGGTATTTTTTGAATTCCCCCTCAACTACCTCAAAACATGGAACCTGGTGGACCCTAAATCGGCAATGCTTGTCAAGCCCACCTTGGGATCCCCGGCGTCTTTGTTCCATACTTCCAGACACCATACCAGACAATGTCCTTAAAGACTTAATTTCAGACAACGTGCTCAACAGCTTGCTTTTCCTAGAAATGGCTTCTCGCCAAAACCAAGGGAAAAGGGCTGGGTTTTGAAGAGCAAAATGTTGGAAAAGGAATAACCCCAAGACTAATGAAGCCTCATTCCCCTCTCCCCAAAGGCACTCTTAGAATACAGGGCCCCGTGTTTCCATCCACTGGCCTGTTCTGCAGATCTGAACACCGTCAATTCACCTATTAGTTCGGGTTCTAAACAGGAGGCCTGGATAG